AGCCAAAATAATAATGAGAGGTTTAATCTGCCCTGTCCTCTCTCACTGTCCTCTTCCGGGAGTCAGGGACACGTGGTGAGGAGGCCTCAGGAAGCCCAGGAAGACTCAGGAAGAAGCTTCCGATGATGCTTGGTGTGGCCTGTTCTCTTTGGACTTCAGATTAGAGTTATTCCCAGGTGGCCAGTGTCCCATAGCTGGCCAGCTGGCCCTCTTCCAGAACACTTACTATGATATGTCTCTGGGCTCTAGACTTGACTGAAGAGCTTCAATTCCAGCCCACAGACCACAGGACTATTCCTCAAACCATTTTGCTTTCAAAGTGGAAGATCGTGTAATCCCTAAGTTATGGTTTAATGTCCTTAAAAGAAGGCAGTTTCTTGCAAAGCAAACAAACAAAAAAACTACTCAACTCCTTATCTCTGTGTGTGTGTGTCCATATGGGTATGTACACATGTTCCTGTGTGTGCAGGTGTGTGTACATGTGTGTCCGTGCATATGGAGACCAAAGGGCAATCTAGGGTATCATTCCCCAGGAGCTGGCCACCTTGTTTTTTGAGGCAGAGCCTCTCACTGGGACCTAGGGCTCACTGACCCAGCTAGGACAGTTGACCAATGATCCCCGGGAACCCTTTCGTGTCCGTCTTCCCGGTGGCAGGAACACAAGCACTCAGCACCAAAGGCAATGGACTTGGTGAAGCTCACATGACACCGAATTCCGAAGTCATGAAGTAACTCTCCCTAAACCCACGGACACGGGAGACTGGGCTTCTGCTGCAGAAGGGCTGGCTGCACGCCGCAGCTTCCCTGACTGCAGAGGCTGCGTTGGTCCTGTCCTCATTAGTGCCACGCCCTCTCCAATCTAGAAACTCAGTTATTTCCACTCCCAGCAAACACGCATTTAGCATCAAGCTTCTCCCCAGTTCAGAATAGATCACCATGGAAACCAGCCCCAGGAGAGGCTGAGGCACACACTTTTCTTTCTGGCCCTGGGTGCATGCAGATGGAACTCCTGTCCCCGAGCCCTCTGGTTTCAGTACAGGGGAGTCCTGGAGAATGGAGCTCCATCCTCTCCTGTTGGTGGTTGTTGTTGTTATTATTATTATTACTATTATTATTACTACTACTACTATTCATAGTACTAGAGTAGAACCCCTTCTGGATGCTAAGCAAGTACCTCATCATGGAGTCATAGCCCCAATCTGCTCTTTGTGTCTCAGTGGGAGGTGGCTTCTCTGGGGGGTCCTCATTCTGTTTACCACCTTGGGGATACAGCCAACAGGAGGACCCGAGTTCAGTTCCCAGTACCATGCTGGCCACCTCACAACTGCATTAACTCTAGTTTCAGGGGGATCCAATGCCATCTTCTGGCACCCAAGGACACACTAAGCACCCACACAGACTCACGCATGTACACACATAATTTGAAAATAAAAATATTTAAAAAAATAAATTTAAGAGCAAGTTTCAAAGTCAGTAAAGCCGCCAGGGAATGAGGCCCTGTTGGGAGCTTATATGGGGGCTGTCCTACATGATGTTCCCAAACCCCAATCCTCAGTGTTATCAAGAGAAGGTTTGTGTTTTGTTTATTCAGTTATTTACTTTCAGATAATCTAATATTATACCATGGAGATTGCTGCGGAGATTCTATAATCCAATAATGAAAACTACTCGGTACAGAACTTGGTACGTTGCTGGCCATAGGGTGGGAGAGAGAGTGTGTGTGCAGGTCTGTATGTAATGCCCTTTCTGGAGACTTCTATATCACATGCCCCTAGGAGGTGAGCTCCTTGGGAGCAGCATTCTGGATTCTGTCCAAGGGAGGAGGTGCGTGCCCGGCTCCCCGGCTCACCCCGCTGCTCCCCAACTCCCACATCTGTCAACTGGCACTGCTTTGGGGAGGTTTACGCCTGTTCGGTGCTTGGCATGGTGAATGCTGACTGGTGGACATCATAGATCTGAGCTGCACGGGTTCGGTCTGGCAAGCTGCAGGGCCACTGAGCAGCTCTGGTAGTGTGTGTGGTCAGTGTGGAGTCAAGGCTCCAGTTTCTCCCAGCAGAGCAAAGCCCAGGGGTGACTCCTGGCAGGGGCCAAGGAATGCAAGAGGAAGGGAGGGAAGGTTCTCTTACCAGGCCGAGGTTCAGTGTATTGTTGTCATCTTCGGGCATGGGGAGGTACACTGCCAGGGCCACACAGTTGGCAAAGATGGTGAGCAAGATGATGGTCTCGAAGGGTCTGGTGCCAGGGTTAAGGAGAGCCCTCGAGTCACCTGTGGGATGTGTGGGGTCGGGGGTGGGGAGGAAGAGACCACTAAAGGCCAGTCTGGAAATCACTACAATGCTAAGAGATAGTCAGGTGGTGTGTGGGGGCTTGTCTCCCAAAATGGCCAGGGAGTCTGGGGGAAGATGGAAAATGGAGGGAAAGCAAGTTTTTCAGAGCTCTGTGCACACTCTCATGTGCACTGGGTGGCACTGACACATCCCCTTCCCAGATACACCTGTCCCCCTCCCCAGGCAACCATCTCCAAAGGGAGCTCTGAAACCCACCCTTCACACAGGCGAGGAGGGCGGGTCAGGAGGTGGCGCTGTCTGACACAGCGCAGCTACTGGAATCAGTCTCTATGGAAATCACCCTCTCTATATGGTTCCGAATCTCCCTTACCCTTCCAGTTATCCCCGGTTCTCCACCACCCCACCCCTCAGGAACAGCTGATGGAATCCTACCCTTCCAGAGCATGTCAAAAATATTTCAAATATCCCTGACTCTCAGCGCCCACTCGGCACAGTCTGCAGCCCCTCCTTTCCCCCAAATAACCCAGACATTTTCATCATTCTTCCAGAACTCATGCAAACCCAGAGAGACGCCACGGCCCCTGTCCCCAGGGCACTACTGAGCGGAACACGCAAGGTTGCGTCCCAGCATCCAGCAACACCACTAAGAGTAGGGCCTTCCCTCAAATCCATTTGGCCAGCTCCATTTGTAACCGAGCCTTGAGCCAGTGGAAGTTGTCACTTCCCCCGCCCCCAAACCCCCGTCACCATGGAGGACTTCCTCGGAGACCCTACTCTGTCCATCTTATTCAAAACCGTGGAGTGGTGCCCATGAGGACAGAGATAGTTCACACTTAGAAACAGCTCCCATGAGCACAGGCCTTCCCCAAGATGACCACTTGCTATCTCTGGCCGTTGCCTACGACCAGAGTGGCCTCCTCAGGCCCCAGGAGGATCTCCTTCCTTCCTGCCTTAGCCAAGATTCAGCATGCGTGCCTGAGGTTCACCCCCTTCCAGGAGCCCAGTCACCCTGGTGCTACACGCCTGAGCTCTCTGGACACTCCATCCCCTCTCCTGCCTCCCGGGCCCTCCCCCCACTCCCTCTTGCTCAGGTACTAAGGATACTTCCACTCCACGATGCTGATACAGGCCTTCCTCAGGGGGTTCTCAAGAGTCAAGCAGAACAAGGCTCGGGGTGGCCTCGGCAGAATCTCAGGAACAGGTTTCTTGGGCTGTTTCTTCCTCAGGCCCTCATCCTGGGGGGAGGACGGCTCCATGGTTTTCTTGACTCCCCTCTTTTCCCGTGCTCCCCCAGCCCACCGTCCTCCTGTGTCTCCAATGCCCCCACCTTGGGGACTGGGCCTGACTGAGCCTGTCTTGCTGAGGCAATCAGACAGGGCAGGCGTGGGGGTGGGTGGATTACTCTCTCTGCTCCCAGCGAGTAAAATTAGCCCGTTCTGCCCAGCCCAAGCTCCTGAGGTCAGGCAGCTGTCATGCCTCCCAGAGCAGCCAGTGACATCCCAAACTGCCCCCAAGGAGGGTAAGGGCTGGATATAAAGGGCTGACTTACACCCAGGCCTGAGATGGGGCACGGACACTGAGAGACAGGAAGTCTTTGTAGCTGGGCAATGGGGTTCAGGGAGAGGAAGCCTGAGGTGTGGAGCCACAAACTAGACAGGTCCCTCACGCTGAGATTAAGGTTCCCCCGACCCTAGCTCCATGACTCTGTCCAGAGAAGGCGCTGGGCTAGCTCAGCATATGTCCCCTACTGTCTCAGTATCTGTGAGGATCAGACTTCTCGGCCACTGGGGAGAAGGACTGCCAGGCAACCTTGAATGTCCATGGCTCTCAATAGTCCCTGCCCCTCATATCTGTCATTATACAAGGTCTGTGTGCTTCCTCTCTGGAACCAAGAGCCCTCTAGCAAATAGTCTCAGCATGCATCCAGCTCTCTGGAAAAGTTAGTTGACTGCATAGCTAGCAAACACCCCCATACACCTTTGAAGCAAGTATTCTGGGCCCGGGGAATTAAATGAAGAAGAGGAACATGGTAGTGGTATAGACAGTAGTTCACGAATCACAAAATTCAACAGTCCTTTTATTCAGCCCTTGATGTAAACACGGTGTCCATAGAGCCTAGAAGTTTACAAGTCTTGGGGGCTGGGAAGGGATCAAAGTCCTTAACCTGGGAAAAGACCAGAAGACTATTTCCAAGGGTGGGAGAAGGGAGGTGATCACTTGCTACTTGCTGTCAAGGAAGTCAATGAGCACCAGCGACAGAAGTGCGCGCGCGCGCGCACACACACACACACACACACACACACACACACACCCTTCTCTCGAGTCTGTCAGTGTCAGGGTGCGGATTCAAGCAGCTGCCCCGCCTCCCTCCCTCTGGAATTCCTGCTCTCTAGAGGTAATCAAGCTCCCCGCTAGTGTTTGAGGCCATCTTGTGGAAGACCCAGGCATGACACATAAAAGTCAAAGTGCGGCCGCTTCCAGGGGACTTGGTGCTGTGGCGGACAGCAGGGCCGCCCTGTGGCCAAACGGCAGTCAGGTCCAGGAGCTGCCCAAGGCTCCGCTGCTCACTGCCCTCACCACCTTCTGAGATCCCCATCTCACCCCACCTACGCCAGGTCCGCACTTTTGGCTCAAGAGGATGCAGGTGGTAGCACAGCCCTTGAGCATCCCTGTCCCGCCCAGCGCAGATGACCCAGCCCCCATTACTGTTCCCTAGAGGGACAAACCGAGGCCTCTGCCCCGATCAAAGGCCGTGTTCCTCCGACTCCAAGAAAGGTGAGGAGAAGGAGGAGGACCCCCTGGCCTCGGCCACCAGGAAGGGGGGCTGCGGCGCGTTGCCCTGGCCGGCGCGGGCCGGCGGCAGGGAGGTGGCGGCGGGTGGCTCGCCGTCGGGGCTGGCGCTCAGCAGCTCCTGCAGGTACTTGATGTAGCGGATGGCGGCGCGCAGCGTCTCCACCTTGCTGAGCCGCTTCTCGGCCAGGGCGCCGGGGAGGTGGCCGCGGAGGCGCGCGTAGCCCTCGTTTACGCACTTGACGCGCTGCCGCTCGCGCTCGTTGCGCTTCTGGATAAAGGCGGGCTCGAACGGGTAGTCGTAGACCCCGAAGGCTCCCGGAAAGGGCACGTACGGGAACACCCCAGCATAGGCGTCGTAGTAAGGGGGCTCGGCGTGACCCGGGTACAGCAGGAAGGGCACGTTGCCCAGGGGCTCAGTGGCTGCCAGCGGCGTCTGTCCTGCAGGGGCCACGACACCCAGCTGCATGCCGCTGGGAGCCCCGCGGTCCACCAGGGCCCGGCAGAAGTTGCTGGTCATTGCCACCCGTCGGGCTGGACCCAGAGTGAGGCCCTTATCGAAGGCCTCTGCTCGGGCTCTGTGTGGTCCTGACCACGGGGACGAGTCACATCGCTGGCAGCTCTTGGCCAGTTGCTAAGGCTTCATTTTGCTTCTTTGGGTTGGCCTGGACTTCTTAAAGTGACTCATAGCTCTGGACAAGTGCAGGGCCTTGTAGAGGCTCAGCAGGTACCTGCTGGGATCATGCTTGTGCTGCCCTGCATTGAGTAATCCCAGCACTCTGGCGGGCTTCCCTGGCCTTCGTGATCTGCGTGATGTGCGAGTCTTGCCGGCACCTGCTCCTGGCCCCAGCTGCCAGCATGCACGTCCAAGTCCTTCGGTGCTTAGTTCTTGTTCTTCATCGGCCCTTGTTGCGGGATCCCCAAGCTGCAGGGAAGCGGTGAGGGCAGCGTGTGTGGCAGCTCTTCAGAAGAGGTCGCAGAATTTTGCTGAAAGCAGAGAAGAGTGAACGCATCAATAAGGAAAGACCCTCGGGACGCTCCCGCCTCCAGATGTGATCAGGAGGGAAGAGTACCGCTCTGGGGAGAGCTCAAATCTTGTGTTCATCACTCAGTAGTCAAGTGAGTCAGATTTCCATAGGGGGGAAATGATACCACAGAGCACCCGGTACCTGGCCTGGCTGATGTTGGAGGCCATCAATGCCAGTTCCTTTGAGGATGCTGATCACCTCAATACTGATAACTCCCAGGGCCTTGCATCTAAAGGCTGGGTTTCCAGTAGCCACATCAGGGCCTCCCAGCTGCCTGTCATTCCAGCAGCAGAGGACCCTTTGCCTCTGTGGGCACCTGTGCTTGTGTGTACATACCCACACACAGAGACAGGATTAAAAATAATAAAATACTTTAAAGAAGCCTGTGGAGCTAGCAGGAGGGGTTGCCTTGGCTATGTCAAGTCATCACAGAAGTCTGCCTCTCTGGTGAGTGGAGACAACTCTGGTTACGAAGAACTCAGGCGTTGTTTGATCTTTCAAAGCTGCTTGGCAGAGAGACTGTCACTTGCTCCTTCTCTGACCCAGGCCAGACTGGGTCCCGAATCCACCATCACCCACCCTCTTGGCTTTCTCCTCTATGGCACCTAAGAGGGCATCTTCTTTTTCTTATATCTGCCCAAGCCGAGCCCCATCCCTGGCATGTAATAGATACTCCATAAATACTGGCTGAATAACCAAGAAAGAGGATTAGGCCAAAAAACTGGGTTTGCCTTGCCAAGGTGGCGCATAATTACACGTAGCCCTTCCCAGGTTTAGAAAGCTGTTATTTTGGAAATAATTGGTCTGTGTCGAGTTTAAGTGCCACCAGGTCTAATCAGACTCAAGCTATGCCCCCCCCCCACACCCAGGAAGCAAGCCTCTCTGATCCTGTTCCCTGCCTTTGTGTGTGTATGTCCACAGTGTTCCTAGATGTCCTTGTAGGGCTTGTCGCTCTATCGTTATCCTCCTTTTAAGGAGGCTGCTCGGAGTTTACTGAATGGGTGAGCTTGTGTGCTGTGATGGGGCGCCCGGGCCCTTGGCAGCGGTCAAGTCTTCTCTACGTGGCGGGAAAGAGCCAAACCTCTCCCTGCCTGAGAGCTGGTGGCAGTCACCGGCTACAGTTGTCTTCTGCACCCTACCACTTTGTCCTTTTTACAGGCCTCCATCTGTCCCCAGTTAGTGTTTTCCTCCACGCTGGCCCAAAGCCTCCCGGAGACTGGTGCATCTCTCCAGTGGAAGCTGGTGTGTAAGACGTCAGGACCAAAATTCATACCTCTCCACTCCCACCACAGCCCCCTCCAGAGCTCCCCACATTCTCGGACGGGCCCTCAGCTCCATTGGGGTAATCTCCGGATGCCCTTTGCTCATTCCTGACTCACACCTTGGCTAATACTGCAGGTGTGGGGCCCTGAGCACCTCTCTGCTTTGCTAAGCTTGCGCCCACGAGAGAGTTCGAACACGGACGGCTTCTGTCCACACTGCCTGATCCCAGCCTGGGCTGTTAGGACTGAGTGTCTGAGACTTCACTCAGGTCGTGAGCCTCAGCAGGCGGGGCTAGGCTTTTTCTTTTAAAGGTAAAGTCCCTCCTCATTCAGTGCTGGACATATAAAGATTGCTCAAGATACTTGCCAGTATTGTTCTGTTCCTTTAAAAATTCAGGATCTAGACTTGATTGCTCACATTTGACTTTAACATTCAGAACTTATTTTTAAAATAAAGTCGGCGCATCAACATTTGTTTCTCATAAAACTATTCAGAAAAGTGTCTCACATAAGAAGCCTCCCTCACACAGGCCTGTGTAATTCTAGGCCAATTCTCTCTCCAGGGCTGGAAAAAGATAGACAAGCTGCGGGGGGGGCAGGGGAGGAGACACCTGCAGTGGACTGGGTCTCCGAAGAGCAACCCTTACTCCCTCCATCTTGGAAACTGAGACCTGTGAGGCCCTCTCAGTCAGCAGACTTGCCATGAAACAATGACGATTTCAGCTGTTATCGCTTACCATGTATAAGACGCTGTTCTAAGTGCTGTTCTTAAACGTTCCCGTGTCTTCACATCATCCCTGTGAGGTGGCTAATATTGCCCATTTTTGCAGGTGAGAAGGTAGCCGTGCGTAAAGGTTAAGTCACTTGTCCAAGCGCTGTGGTTAGGAATCATGAACTAATAATACTTGCTAATCAGCCATGCTCAGCTTCCTGCTCCTCTGTGGCGATTCTCTCGGTGATTGGAACCTCATCAGGGGATCAGAAAGGTTTGAATTGACCTAACCGAGGATCTTACTAAGTCAGATCTCCTGCTGGAGGGATGCCCCACGGTAGGTTAAAGGTATAGGGCTAGTGCTCAGCTTCTGCTGAGAAAGGTCACATTGGTCACCTTTGGGAAGATGTTTTGCATGGGATCCTTGGAGCCAAACATCATGAGCTCACCCCTGAGAACATGATGGGAAACCCCTTTGCCCACAGGAATAGCAAAGTAAGTTGCCCCTTCCAAGCCTCTAAGATCCATGAGGATCGGACCCGGTAGAAGTGGCTGTCAACAGCGCCACAGTGTGGTGATGATAAGAAATGCAAGTGGCGGGTGAACAAAATCCAGGTCCTGGTTCTGTGTTCTAACTTCCCCTCACAGTTCCTCCGGGAGACTGAGGGTTCCAGCAAGGAAGAGCCGTGTGGATTCCTGTCAACCCTACTATTTTTTTTTCCTTGAGCTTGTTCAGCAGAAACGCCACATAAACTTTCACTACAATATATGTGCAGTTATCTGTGTTTTGTTAATAGTGTATGATGCTAATATTAGGCACCATCTTAGATAAAGCAAGGGGTGCACATATCGCCTGGAGCTGTCTTGCCTTCCTCATTGTCTTCACTGGGGCTGGAGTTAGGGTCTGAGGCCAGAAGATGGCCAAACAGCCCTTTCCTTAGCCAAGCCATGCTCTGGAGGAGGGGGTGAGGGACCAAACTCTTCACAACTCTGCTGCTTTTTCTGGGAGATCCCTGGCTGGTGCTCACCTCACATTCCTGGTGGCAATAAAGCTACTTCCGGAGCCGCCTCTCCATTCAAATGCCCTAAACCAGAAGGACTCAGTGGAGGAAGTCACTGGCTTTTAGCATCATCTCCCCCATCCCTGGGCAAGGTAGTCACTAAGGCCTTTCCCCAACTGTGATCCCACAGTTGATCAGTTTGTAAAACGCAGCCTGTATTCCCACAGGAAAACAAAAACAAAACAAAAAAACCTGTTTGTGTCAAACTTGGATAACACCTTAAGAAGTTTTTGAGCCTTAATACACCTTTGGGGAATTCTGCCTAAAATATCCACAATACAGAGAGGAAGAGGAGAGAAAGGGGGAAGAAGAAATGTCACAGCGCTCCCTAAGGGGTGTGTCTAACAGCCCGTAGATAGTTTAGAAGGACCACTCACACATGTACGTATTAAATGCCTCCAAGCATGCATCAACACGGGCAGTCAGTTTGGAATGTTTTATGCTCCAGGAGGCATGGGAACTCGTCTAGGGAGGGCAGCAGTCATGTTCTGTGACTGTGAGCCCACTTGTGCCTTAGATGGCTGCAAGACAGTGCTGTGTCCTCTGGACTGGCGTGGCTCAGAAGCCCATGCCTTTGGTCTGCCCAGAAAGAAGCGAGTCCCCTGCAAGGCCCTCATGTTCCTTCCTCCGGCCTCAGGGTTGGGGATCCCTGACTCCTCTCCAGCTGGTTTCACCGAGGACTCACCCCAGACGCGCCCCCTGGTGTTTGCTTTTGCTTAGCAGTCTCTTTGTCCCTGAAAGGACCTAGGACATCATTTGCTCGTGGAACTGAGGCTGAGAGGCCCACTCGCGGTCCTGAAGCTTGGTTGCTATGCACCGGGGTCGAGCTGGTTGATGTGTGAGGGTCTTCTTGGCTGGACAGGGGCCCCTATGTCTTAATTAGAATCATTTTATTAAGGGAAATGTTAGCAGCTGGGTTGGGTGAGGAGCCTAGCTGCTCCTAAACCCTCAGAATTTATACTGTTGAGAAGTCACCGCCAGATGATCTGCGAGCATCCCCCACTCTACAGGAAGGGTGTTGAGCTTCTGCCTTGTCAGCCCCAGGACTGGGGAGGAGAGCCTGTTACCCAGGATGCTCTTGAGAAAGGCAGCCTGGTGTTGAGTGCCCACCTGGCCGCTCACTCCTGTCTCTGGTCAAGCAGTCTTAGCCCTGATTTCTACAAGCCTCAGTGTTCTCATCTGCAAAATGGGAGTGATGCCATTCACCTCCGTGGCTGCCGTAGATGAGGGTAATGTACAAGGGCCACCTGGTCAATAAGACACCCACCCAGCATAGAGCTACCAAGAGCTGTGGGACCTCTTGTCTGTGGCTCTGAAAAGCTAGGTTGCAGCTGGCAAGCATCCTGATGCCACCTCTAACAATTCCGAGAGCCACATCTGCCTGAACAACTACATAAAAGGAAAATTCTGCATGTTATGTCCCAATTGTCCCCTCAAATGTCTGAATGAGAAGGGTCACCTGATTCAAAGCAAACGTGTACACA